TGGCCACATCACCCACTGGTCCAGAAGGTGAATTTTTAAAATCCAACATCTCCAGGTCCCACCCCCAGAGTTTCTGATTTTGTAGGCCTGCTGTGGAGGGTCTAGGATCAACATTTTTAGAATCGTTCGTAAAGTGTAACATTCATACACAAAAAATGTACAAATAGTACAAAGAATTTCACAGACTGTACATACCCATGTCATAACAGCCTTATCAAGAAGCTAAACATCACCAAGACCTTAGTGATGTTTCTCTCCAGTTATTTCTGTCTCTTAAGTTAACTGCTATCTTGACATCTATTTTTACCTTTCTTTTATTTTTTAAAATTTGTTTATTTATTCTAAGAGTGAGGGACACAAACAGAGAGAAAGAGTCAGAGAGACAGCATTCTCAACATAGTCTGTTTACTGTGATCCACTCCTAGCTTCACGCAGCCCGTGAGCACAGGCACACACATGCCTGATGTACTCAGGGAAGTCAATGAACACAAACCTGGAACCCTCTCATGTGGGTCAGTCATACAGAGCATTGCATTTTATTCTTATACCACTGTCCAGGACTCATTTTTACCTTTTTGAAGGAATGCAATACTGTTTTCCATATTGGGTACATTATTTTACAGTCTCATTATCAGTGTACAAGGGTCCTGGTTTCTGCACATGCTTGCCAACTCTTGCTACTTGTGTGTGTGTGTGTATGTGTGTGTGTTCACAATAACTGTCCTACTGAGTGTGAAGTGAAGTGGTATCTCACTGTGGTTTTTAATTTGCATTTCTCTAATTAGTGATACTGAGCATCTTTTTATGTACTTATCATTTGTGTATCTTCTTTGGAGAAATGTCTATTCAAACTTTTGCCCATTTTAAAATAAAGTTATTTATTTTTACTGTTGTTGAGTCATAGACTTTTTTTCTTCTAAGTTTTGCTACAGGGCATGCTGGAGACAGACAGAGAGAGAAAGTGAAAAATCACCCTCCAGGAAGTTGACCATGCTGCAATCCCTTTTCCTCCACTTTCCTCTCAGAAATGTGGGCATGTATGCACTCATGCCTGGCATGATTTTCAAGCCACAGGGTCTGGAACTTGAGCTGTATAGTCAGTTATGTGGGATCCAGTGCCTTAACTTTCATGTCACCTGCTGGTCCAAGTTACATATAATTAAGAAACAATTTTGATATTAATTTCATATTAGTAATATGCAAATATTTCTCCCATTTTGTGGGTTGCCTTTTCACTGTTATTAGCATCTTTTTTTTTTTTTGGAGAGATTTTCTCTATAGGGCACGTGCACTCGTCATAGAGACAGAGAAAGACATAGAGACAGAAAGTGAGAAATCACCCCCCAGGGGGGATGGTCATGCCGCAATCCCTTCTCCTCCATTCTCCTCTTGGGATCTTGGGCACGCACGCACACGCTCCCGGCGTGAGTTTTAAGCCACCGGGTCTGGGACGCAAACCGCGGTCGACTACGTGGGAGTCCAACGATATAGCCATTACGCTAACTGCTGGTTCCCAACATCTTTTGATACACAAAAGTTTTACTTTTTTTTTTAGAAACTGTTTTTTAAGAACCTTATTTCCACTTTGTATAAGAGTTCGTGGAAGAACAGCTTAAAACCACTCAGTGTTTGTTCCCACCCATCAAGTGGCCTGAGCAGTGAGGCACGGCAAATTAGTCTTCACTGGCAGGCTGAGCTTCTAGTCTTCAGCAGGGAACTGCCAGATGGGCACAGAGGTCATCCACATGCCTTCAAAGTAGTCTGCAACCTCAGGTGAGTAGTAGTAAACTATGTAGCTTTAGCAGTCCATTCACTCTGAAATTCCTTCTCAGTCATAGCATTTTCAGTAGTGACCTGGTCTTCCTTTTCAATCTCTTCAGGATCCCTGTAGAAGTAAGATAAGGCATGAACTCCCACGAGTGTTCACAGGAGATGGATCCACTCATGCACAGAATTTCCCTAGCCAGCATCCACCACATCAGACCTGCTGAATGAGCTTCCTTGTTGTTGCATGCGATGGCAATGTCCACATAGTGCAGAGGAGAATCTGTGTTGCACAGAATAATTGTAGGCAGGTTAACATAAGATGCCTCTATGAGAGGCTGGTGGTTGGCCCTGGGATCAGTAACAACCAGAAGATGCGGCTCCTAGAAGGTTGCTTGGATCTGGTTAGTGAAGGTTCCAGGAGTGAAGCAGCCAGCAACAGGAGTGGATTCAATGGCAGCAGCAAACTTCAGCACAGCCTTCTGCCCAGTATTCCTAGAAGACATGACACTGACCTCAGCAGAATTTTCAATGGCAACAATGGCATGAGCTGCCTGTAGAAGCTTCTCCCAGGTCCTGTTCAGATTTATGATGTAGATGCCATCACATTTCCTTTTGTAACTGTGCTGTTCCATTTGAAAGTCAAAGTTGGTGCCACCAAAGTGGGCGCCTGTTGCAAGGAATTTCAGGATATCCTCCTCCATTTGCAGAAGTGAAAATTACCCTCTAAGTTAAAATGAGAATCCAGAACTACACTGTATGGACCCTTGTGTGGGTAGCATGGAAAGGGAAGCTTTACATTTTTAAATAAAGATTTTAAAATATTTATTCAATGAGTGGCAAAGACAGAGAAATTGTGCCTCATATAGGAGTGCTAATGCCATCATTTGACCCCAGTTTTCAATAAGTCCCAGTTTTCAGTAAGTCCCAGTATGCATGTGCCTGGCATACTCTAGGAGGTCTCTAGACTTAAATAGGAACCTTCTAATGTCTGATTGCCTTGAAAAGCATCATTTTTTACCACTGTGTCACCATCTAGCTCCCAAAAGTTTTAAATATTTGATGTAGTCAGTTTATTTTTCTTTCGTTGCTTGTGCTTTGGTGTCATAACCAAGAAATCATTGAGAAATCCAGTGTAATAAAGTTTTTATCTTATTTTTCATCTAAAAGTTTTATCGTTTCAGTTCTTTTTTTTTTGGGGGGGGGGAGAGGGTTTTGCTACAGGGTATGTGTGCTTACCAGAAAGACAAAGAGACAGAAAGCAAGAAATCAGCCCCCAGGGGGGATGGCAATGCCACAATCCTTTCTCCTCCATTCCCCTCTCAGGCTCTTGGGTACACATGCACACGCACCCAGTGTGATTTTAAGCCACTGGGTCTGGGACTCAAACTGCAGTAGACTACATGGGAGTCTAGTGACATAGTTGCATCTAAAAGTTTTATCGTTTCAGTTCTTTGTGTTTTGGGGGGGGGGAGAGGTTTTTGCTACAGGGTATGTGTGCTTACCAGAAAGACAAAGAGACAGAAAGCAAGAAATCAGCCCCCAGGGGGGATGGCAATGCCACAATCCTTTCTCCTCCATTCCCCTCTCAGGCTCTTGGGTACACATGCACACGCACCCAGTGTGATTTTAAGCCACTGGGTCTGGGACTCAAACTGCAGTAGACTACATGGGAGTCTAGTGACATAGCCACTACGCCAACTGCTGGTCCCTCATTTCAGTTCTTCTGTTTAGATTTTTTTTTTTAATCTATTTTGAGTTAACTTGGGTATATGGGGTGAGGTAAGGATTCAACTTACTTCTTTTGCATGTGGATATTCAGTTTTCCCTTTGTTAGGGGACTGTCTTTTCCCCTTCAATGACATTGACACAGGTGTAGAAATTTATATGATTATATATATTACTTCCAGGTTCTCTATTTGATTCCATTGGCTTATATGTCTGTCTTTATGCCAGTACCACATCGTTTTGGTTACTGGGGTTTTGCAGTAAGTTAAAATCAGAAAATGTGAAACCTATAGACTTAGTCTTCTTTTTCAAGATTGTTTGGCAACTCATGTTCCCTTGAGATTACACATGAACTTTAGGGTAGCTTTTTCTATTTCTGTAAAAATGTTGAAATTTTGATAAGGATGGCATTGAATTTGTAGATCACTTTGAGTTGGAATAAAATCTTAATAATATTAAGCCTTCCAATCTGTGAATATGGGATGTCTATTTCTGTCTTCTTTAATTTATTTTAGTATGCTTTGGAGTTTTTGGAGTACAAATCTTCAGCCTCCTTCCTTAAGTTTACTTCTACCTATTTTATTTTTGATGCTATTGTAAATAGAATTCTTTTCTTTTTTATTACCAGAGGACTAGTATACTTTTTAGACAGTGACAGAGAGAGAAAGCATACCCCAATTAAGTGTGGCCACACTGCAATCTCTTCTCCTCCATTTCTCCATCTTATCAGGATTTTGGGTACATAAGCACACAAACTCAGTGTGTTTTTTCAAGCTGCTAGGGCTGGGATTCAAACTATGGCTGGCCATGTGGAATCCATCTCTAAGCAAGGGTAAGGA